GCTAGCCGTTTACCCAACCTTCCCTGTTTATCCGGCCTTAGGACCGGTTAGTAACTAATGAACCAGTAAACTAGGCGATATTTAGAAGTCACTCTTACACCATGTTAGCCTAATTCTAATTTATATCTCAAAAATTTTATGTATACCTTCATCGTTTCTTTTATTTTCATTAAAATAAATTTGTAAAGGAATTAAATTTTTCAGATAAGTCACTGTTGAACATTTTCAGCCCTTGTTTGTGCTAGAATTAGAAATAGGCTTCGTTCAGGAAATCGTATATGACTAGCATTATCCTTATTCTAATTATTTCTTCTATTCGCTGCTAAGCATACATTACTGAATATTTTAGGTTGAGATGTTTTGGAAGCTGGACTGTAGAAAAGATAAGAAATCTACATTTCACTAAAAAACCTGGTGATCTATCTCCAGGTTATTTACATATTCATCATCAGTTTACGATGACACTTTTTATTTCTCTCTGGCTTTCTAACTGCTTGACTTTTATGAAAGCAGGATTTCTGTTGGAGACCATCAATCCTGAAGTATATTTCGATGAATATTGCAGTGAATATGTATCTTACAGTCGGGAAAGGTTTTAATATGATATGAATTTCTCAATATCAAAAAACATATTGTATTTTGCATGTTCAAATAAGTTAAGTGTTCTGTCTTGTACTAACTGATGATTAAAGTATATAATTTAAAGTTTTCAGGCAATATAAACTCAAATTGGCCATGGTAAAGAAAGTGTATTTACCCTTTGAATTCGATCATTACTTTAAATTCTGTCACTTTCCTTTATTTTATTTCCTCCATTGTATTCCTCTTATTCAAGTTGTTATTCATCATAGACTGACATCAGTTGGAGGAACAAAGGAAACCTGGGAGCACTGAACAGCTGTTTCGTCCTAGTAGGGGACCCCTTAGCAGTGCACATGCACGACCCCGCCAGGGATCAAACCCCGCTACTTTTAGGTCCCATGGTTAGCACGTTACTATTGAGCGACTGGGTCAGAATCCAATGCTCCATATTTCCAACTTCTGTTAGCTCACGATATAGACCAACCATCACCCAATGTCATCATTGAGAAACTATCCTCACGACCATCAGGCTTTGCCCCTACCGGTCATTCATTTTCATAAGTTTCTGATTTTATCGATTTTCTATTTCAGGACTGGTATAAATTGCAGAAACTTTCATTATGAGCTTTTGTGAAGGCATCAAAATCTATCCATTTGCTGGAAATAATAATCTATATCAGTTAGATTGTTTCATACTGAATCAAATTTCTATAGAGATTAGATTTTAGAATAGAACCTATCATATAAATACAGTAACGACTGAACAGTTCAGTTTGAATGGACTGGATATACAAATTACTCTAGACAAGTATTTTACTGTTCATTAAAATTATTATAAGGTCTGATTTGGAAATAAATCTATTTATTAATGGACAGATCAAGTTTTCAAGAATTCGGTACAATGACATAAATACAAGTATAGAATTTAAGGAAGATAATAGTAATGATAATCGTTATGATGGATGATGGCTAGCAGTGGAACCCAGGATGCGAATTTCGTCCTATTTAGGACTCGTCAGCTGGATGTACCTATACCACAGCGAGTGGTGTTGTTCCCGCCGGGACCCGGACCCGGAGCTGATCGCTTCAAACGTCAGAGCATTATCCACTATACCAACGAACACGATAACCACTTCTTGGGTGAAGAGTATAGTTTAGCATAATTGCTTGTATTATACCATCGTTGGTTGAAATGAATTGATTGGTCTCTATTGGAATGTGCATGGATGCCTCTATATTACCTGAGTTTTTATTATAGTAATGATGAGTCCTGAATGGGACGAAATTCGCATCCTGGATTCCACTTTTAACCACTGTCTATCATAACTATAATTAAAATGCAGATAATATCGAGGCATCCGCATAGAAGCCCATATACCAATATAGACCGATCAATTCGGTCCAGTCAACGATGGTGTAATGCAAGCAATTGTAATAATAATGATTTTATTAAGAAAGGTATTTCAGTAATACTGTACAGAATTTTCAGCATGTCACTTGGCATCAATTGGGTAGAAACAGTATGTACATATGTGTATATATTTATGATTATTATATTCACAACTGAATGGAAAAAACTAGCAGTATTCACCAAAGATGCAGACTGACACAGCTCATATTCAAATTCAGTATATGGACATAAACTTAGGTGTGTCGAATTTCATAAGATTGACCTCGTCTCGCCAAGGTAGATGACTTTATCCTGCAGCTTATTGGTGCTGACAAAATACATGATCTTTTGAAGGAACTGAATAGAATTTTGAGTATGTTTGGCAAGCTTACCGCTTACAACTGTCAAATGTAAGGTACTGCTATATGACTGATCTGCTCCAAGTACTCCCAGCTTAATGATGGGGAGTAAACTGGTGGAGTGTATCCACCACTGCACTTACCTGGGGATTTGCATCAGTCTGAACGGATTGGTCACTGGCGAGATCCTAGCTCGAATATAGAGAGGCCCGCTCGGCATTTACCAACTTGTGTCGTTTGTGGTGTTAACGAGATATCCAACTGTCTATCAAACGATGGGTGTACTGCGCTGGAGTTCGTTCTGTTCTGCTATACGGCTTTGAGACCTGTTCATTGAAAGTGAAAGATTTAAAAAGACGCGGGTTTTTTAACCATAGATGTCTTTACAGCATTGCTCATGTATGGAGAAATTATCATGTGGACAATATTAAGATTATGTAGAAGGGTATTAACAAGAAAGGCAAGTCGATTGATGATGTTGGAAATCTGTGTCGACTGAGGTGGCTTGGATACATATTGTACATATAAACCACCATCGCTGACGATATGTCATGCTTGGAGAAGTTGGATTAGGTTGTAAGAGAGTTCAGGGTGTCCAGGCGAAGACGAGGTGATGATTTCTCTGACTATTGGTATGAGGCATGTTGTGAGCTGTACGCTACTGGCTGGGGTCCTCAAGATGATGCGAATCAGTGGTTGAGGACTCTTGGTGATATGGCACATTTGTATTTATCCCCTAACGTCTTCTTAAGCTTAGATATTCGTATTCAAATTGTTTATCCTCTGACATAATTTAGTCTATTTTGGTACCGATTTTTCCTATCCACATGTTCTTTGTTTACTACTGTGAAATGTGGCAACTTGAACCAATGCGCCTGTGAGTAAGGTTCCACGTTAATTTTGTCTGTGTTGTTATAGGTTTTCTCTATGTATAGGCGTTTGAAGTGAACGTTGACGTCATTGGTTAGTATTATAGTTTTCGTTAAGTGAGCATTTTAGAAATATTAAACGTAATAGATAAGAATGTATCCATAGCTGCATTTAAATCGCAGTGACTAGAAGTGTAAAAACAAACTTTTAAACCTTTTAGTATACCAATGAATGGAAAATTAGTCATAGGAATTGAGCTTAATTGACAATCTTTAATTCTGGCACTTAGTGCAGTATGGATGTTAGCGTAATATACTGCTGTCGTAGAGTTAATCGATAACTGTAAGCCAGGTATTTAAAATGCTAAGGAATACTCTGATTTACTGAATAAGATTTAGATGAGATACGGTACAGGTAAACATTGAAATATTTCCGCGTTTTATAGCATCTATCTTTCATCAAACCTTCCCAAAGAATATATAGGCTGAAACAAAACATATGATTCAGAAATATTTTAGCTATATGCTACTTTACTGAAATTAGTATATAACCCACGAGGTTGATTCCAACAATGCAAGAGCTATTACAGTTCAGATTGGACATCTTAAGAAGATTCACATAAAAACTGAGGAGTAAATGAACTATTCATGAGATCCTTAAAAGTGTGAGGCGATAAAGTGTGCATCTAGAGATCACTTAGGATATTTTCAATCTTTTTTTTATACCCTCATTAGAATTATAAGGATTGTGCAGATAGATCACACAGTTTTACTTAACCGTTTCCTTTCTAGAAACAATTACATCCCTTTTGTGGTAAGGATCATTTGTCTATGACTTTCCTCAAGAGATGCTCTTGGATGAGATTGCATATCACACAGGCAAATAAAACAGAACTCTGTTCAACTTTAGTCACACTAAAACATTTAAAAAGCTTTCATCCCGGCGTACATAGGTAACAAGATGTATCATTTTTGGTTGTTATCATTGCAGAACGTCTTTGGTGGTCAAGATCGAAAAATAAATCTTGAGTTGGTTTAATAAATAACTCTAGGATGACTCTACAAAAAGGCTGAGATATATATTTGGTGTATTTTTGAGATGAATGGGGATTTTTTAGCTCAGAAGTAGTATTCATCATTGACTGACATCAGTTGGGAACCATTGAAAATCTGAGAGTGCTGAACAGCTGTCTCGTCCCAACAATGGGCTCCTCAGCAGTACGCAACCACAACCCGGATACGGATCAAACTCAGGACCTTCAGGTTTCACGGCAAACGTGTTAACCATTCAGCCATTGGATCGGTTTCCAGTGGTTCACAATTTACAACTTCTGTCAATTCACAACATGGGGCGACTATCACCCAAGGTCTTGAGTTAGTAACCACTTCACTTCCGACTGGTTGACCCCACAGGTCATGGCTTCTCGATAGAGCTTTGTGATATGCATCTGGAAGCAATTCGCTAATGAGTACTATACATTAATGTGTTTTTGAGATGAATGTGGATTTTTTTAATTTCGAAGTAGTATTCATCATGGACTGACATCATTTGGGGAACCATTGAAAGTTTGCGAGCACTGGACAGCTGTTTCGTCTCATTATGGGACTCCTCAGCAGTACTCACACATACTAGGACGAAACAGCTGTCCAGTGCTCGCAGACTTTCAATGGTTCCCCAACTGATGTCAGTCCTTGATGAATACTACTTCTAAAATATATATTTGAGTTCATAATTGGCCTTTTTTTAACAGGTAGTATATAACAGGTTTTCTATGTATATATCTCATTTTATTTCTTTAGATTCCAATGTTTTCAATGTCATCTTAAACTATCTATTGAAAGAATTTTCTTCTTGTATTTAAAGAAAAAAAACCCAATGACCAGTTATTTATTTGAAGATCAAGTTCCTATTGAAGCTGTTCGTTGGTTATATTTTCGTCGTTCTGGTGGTGTTAGTACATGGAAACCATTTTGTGGTTATGATTCATTACGTCTTGAAACAGCTTATAGAGAAAGATGTAATGGGAGTACAGATTCAAACTATGATAAAATTACTGTTCGTGGTGAAATGTTTGAAGTAGAAATGGAGAGTAATATATGCATACCTATATATTGGTTTGGTAAAAAACGTTCTGTACATAATAAGAAAAGAACATGGTGTTCAACTCCAGTTGTACGTGCTGTTTGGTTTCAAAAAATTAATTGGTTACCTTTGGATACAAAATTATCTGAAGTCATTGAATATGAACATCGTACTTATGCTATACCAAGACTTAAAGAAGTTACAAAGAAAAGTCATAAGCGTAATATATTAATTTATCATAATATATTTATATAAATATAATTTTATTTTAATAATTCATTTCTACAGCTGTACACAAATATCAAACGAATAATTATGAAATTAAATGGATGCCAGATGGTACTATTTACTTAGTGACAAAATCTGCTGAACCATTTAGTAAAGTTAAACTACACGGTGGTTTAAGTAGGTTATTGTTTAATTGATTTTTTTTTGTCAACGAAACACTTTTCTCATTCTCTTTAAATTAAAGGTAGTGTTCCTGTTAGCAGAGGTTATTATCGTCTTGCAGAGACAAATGACAAACCTCCGCCTATTACTCATGTATGCTTTGTTGTTCATGGTATAGGTCAACAATTGGCTAGTATACGTCATGAATGCGCTAAGTAGGTTATATGTAATATATTTTAATCTGTTGATAAGATTTATTTTATAGTGAAATTTTTTAGTTTTACAAAATTGATTGTAATGTTAAGATGTTTTCATTATACTAGCCAAGTTTGTTTTATAATTTGAGTTTTACACTTAAGTTGTTAGTTAAAGTGATTGAATAGTGTACTGAGAAACTGTGACTCAGTATTTCAACCAATCAGCTTTTAATCCATTGGACGTGGGTTCCAGACCTGTAGCAAATACCAAGGTTTAAATGTCAACCAATCAAATTCTAAACATGCTTACGTGCTCACCAAACAGCCAATCAAGCTGTAGTCATGCCTGATTTGTTTGACTGCCTTGTGAAGAACTGACGTATTGATGATGATAGTTGGTATGCCAATGAAACATTTGCTAATGGAAATTTTGTTGCAGAGACTAACTTCATCTGAGCAATCTCTCCCCCCCCCACATACAATTTTACAGTTAGACTAGGTACGATAGCATCTCTAGATGCGGTTCGACTGTGATTGGATGGGAAAAAAAAGTCTATTCCGTTAGTACATACCACGTTGATTCATTAATTGATTACATTTATAGACGCTTTAAAAGGTTTTATTCGGTTTCAGTCTAATATAGGTGAGGTTTACAATCAAAATGATATAAGTCAAAGCACCTCCATAGTCATGCTTGCCAATTTTTTCTGTAATTAAGCTAAAATTCACAATAGTAAAGAGGTATGCCAGTTCTCACTATGAATATACAAAGTCTAAAAATTATATTTAAACAGCGTTAGCTGGGAGGTATCAGATGTCTTCTCACTTAATCTGGAGTACTGATTGAATTCAGTCGATCAAGCTTGTGATGCTTCTATGAAGCTAGGGAATATCAAAATGCTGTCAGCGTATAGGCCTAGACAAAGTGAAATTGGTGGCTCAGTGGTAACGCGGAACCCAAAGGTCGCGGGGTCGATCCCTGGCGGGGTCATGGGCGCGCGCTGTTGAGGAGCCCCATACTAGGACGAAACAGCTGTCCAGTGCTCCCAGGTTTCCTTTGTTCCTCCAACTGATGTCAGTCTACGATGAATACCAACTTGAAATATTTCCAAATCTCCACAACTCCCTCAAAATTTAAAGTGAAATTGGTCATATTAGAGTACAATTCTAACCCAACAAATCAATTAGCAGTCTGATAGTTCATTACCAATACCATAGATTGGAATCTTTAGAGCAATAAAGGTGGTATACTCTACTGAATGTTACCAATAGGTCAAAAGTTTAAGTTCAGAGTATCCTACTGATTTGAAACAGTTAGTTCCTTTTATAAATTCCGATAGCTTACTTAGAAGACGAAGTTTACCTGAACAGTGTGTAGTGTAGTACATGATCAATACATTTCGAACAATCTGATCCCATAAAAATTTACTTATCAAGTCAATTTATATATGAAAGAGTGGAAGGACAAAAACAATAACTAACACAATAGGAGAATTAAAATTAAGATGATAAGTAACAGAAAGAGTGATGTAGTTAATCCTAATCACTTCAAGAAAACAGGATTCGCCAAGGTAGGTGTAGTATAAGAAGAAAGTGTTGTTTTACATACAAAGGTGGTTTCAATCTCTGTATGACCATCGCTTCCACAAATCTGAGTATGGGTCTTCAACTGTTTGTATATAAAAGCTTTGAAAGTTGTTTGAACATTAATTTTGTGATCTGTTTCTATGATATACTTAGCTATAGATGGAGAGAGTCATCTCCCATCAGAGTTTATCATGGGAGAAGTAATCAAGCTATGCAGTTGAAGGTAGGAGAACATGTACCTAATTGGTTTCAAAAACAAATGGAGTGTAAAACCGTGATAAACCCTGGTGGCAGATTACCCTCTTCATTTATACCTAAACATATCATAGCGTTTAAACACCTTTCAAAATTTTATATACAAACAGTCAGTCAGTCAGGGACATATACTGAGGTTTATGGAAGCCATAACCACGTGATTAGGATCAACTACGTTACTCTTTCTGTTTCTCCTTATCTTTCTTAATTTTAATCCCCCTATTGTGTTAATTGTTGTATTTGGCCTTTCACTCTTCGATTTCATATCTAAATTAACTTGACAACTAAATGTGTATAGGATCAGATTATTGTTCAAATATATCCTACTGATTATCTTTAATCACTTAACATCATACATATTTACTATTATTACCCTTTTTATATAAGATTTTTAATTTTTTTTTTCTTTGTACTTTTCTACCTATTTAACTTTATAAAGGATTCGAAAAACATGTCAAAAAGTTGTTGAAAAACTTTATCCAAAACTTTCAGAATCTGGTCAACGACTTGAATTTATCCCTGTCAATTGGCGTAGTTCCCTTTCTTTGAATTCACAAACATTGGATAATATAACTATAGCACAAATGAGACCATTAAGAGCTTATATCAATCAAAGTCTTGTAGATATACTTTATTATACAAGTCCATTTTATCGACAAGTTATTATGCAAAGTTTAAGTTATGAATTAACTCGTTTATTTAATTTATTCTGTTCTAAAAATCCACAATTTTTACAAAGAGGTGGTCGAATCTCTGTATTAGCTCATTCATTGGGTAGTGTTATTATGCATGACATTTTGAAGAATAGTCATACATATTTGCCTGGATCATCATTTACTTCAATGATGGTAAGTTAATTTTTTTACCTTTTTCTTAAGAATCAACTTTTCAATATATCTTAATAATCAGATAATCAGATCAAAACGTTTATAGGGATTTATTGATTTCTAGGCGATATTCATCATAAGCTGACATAATTTATAAAATTACTAAAAACTTGAGAGTATTGGACAGCTGCATCGTTCTAGTATGAGACTCTTCAGCGGTATCCACTTACGACACGTTGGGAGTTGACCGTATGGTCTTTCAGTCATCTGGTGAGGTTGTTACCATCGAACTACTGAGCTATATTGTAAATTGACAGATGTAGGAAAATGCAGACAATGGAATTCTGACTCAGTGGTCCAGTAGTAATATATAGTAATATATCTAAAGCTTCTAGACCTAGTTTATGGTAGGTTCAATGGTGTGGACCGCTGAAGAGCCCAATACTAGAACGAAACAGCTGTCCAATCCTCCCAGGTTTTAATGGTTCTGAAACTGATATCATTGTGTGGTGAATACTACCTCGAAACAATTTCCTGGCATTTCTAATCTTTGTGTTGGGATTCAGGTTTCATTACACATTATACTACAGATTTATGGGTTCTCGGGGCAAGAGAAACCAGTGGTTGGAGACTCTAGATGATATGGCTCAGAACCGATATCAGTGATATAGATGTATACACACATTATCCTCATCTTTACGAAACTATACCGAATCGCACCATTTCTTCATTCTTCCTTTCTCTCTTTTAGTACTTTATATTTCTGTTGACTGAGTTTTCCTTTCTTCATCTTCTACTTCATTGGTTTTTTACTTGATGTAGTGATATGAGGTGTGGCAACTAGGACCATTACTCAGTGATGCCTAATCTTATGTTGATAGATGATGATGATGACTACAGATTTATTGAGAACGTGAAATCAAAACACCATACGGAGCAAGTAATCAAAGTTCCAAACAAGACTGTTTTCATGAACGTTGGTTTCAAAGGCTATACGGCAACAGAGATCCTGAAGAAACAGCTGTCCAGTTGGCTCAAGAAGACATTCTTCTCTGCGAAGTTACAGATCAGCTTCTCTGGTCAGCAACTAGTTCCAGAGTCCGTTAAGGACAGGTTGTCGCTTTGGGTCACCTCAGTGTATGTCTACAAATTTACTTGCACCTTTGCAGCTAGTCACATAGGCCGCACAAAGCGCACAGTTCTCAAACTTGTTTGATGTTGAACAGTACAAGGGACGAAATAGCATTTTTCGTCCTATTCGATACTAATCATAGTGGATGTACAGCTATTCCAACAAGAGTAGATGTTCCCATTTACATTCATATTCAGTACTTATCCTTTTCAAAATATTAGAGAATGACTTTTGTGAGCTGTGTGGTTTGGTTGCCAAGTTGTCTCTGCCATTCCAGATGTCTTTGGTAAAAATCAAGAGAAGAAGCAGTGTGTATTAACTTTTCTACTACCAAACTGGAAAACATATTTCGACTGATTGTCTTACAGTCCTGAACTTTAGAAAAGTGCTGGCTTCATGCTTTTCTGACTCCTTTATTGATTGAATGACTGTCAGTATGCCTATTGATTACTGACTAACTGGAATATCAAGCTTATAAAAACATTCTAACGTTCTGAGTATCTTTTTTCTTATCACTGAGTTCTTATTTGCACCTCTCTGGCCAAACTAATATACTCCATGATGCTTGGTTTCTAGTTGATATGGAAAAAGGAGTAGAAGATGATCACTTCGTCATATATTGGGTACCTTGCATTGCTGTTGTTCACCTTATCATTCATATACAAGGGTAACAAAAAGCAGTGACGTTAGGTAGTGAAATTCAATCGACAGGAAGCCCTCGACTTATATTACATGGTCTCTGACACTCACTAACAAGGTGTATCTGTAAATATGAGGAAACTGATGTTCCCTTGACGGTTCAGATCTATATCGCTTCGTGCTGAAGTCGAAGACTTAACCATGACTGATGCATTATGGGGATGGATTGTGTAAGCGAGTTGGTCACTAGTGAGTAACCTGAGTAGTTGTGTAAGAAAAAACATTTTGTACAGTACTGATGAAATATTTTACACTTCCTGTTAAAATAGTCATTTGCACAATGTACTTCATTTCCTCTTCTTCTTCTATCTCGATTTTCTCTTCATACCACCACATTGTCTTTTACTTTTTTCTGAGCAGAATATTTACCCATCGCTGGTAATTGCCTATGACTTCTACCGATCTCTCAAGATATACTACTTAAATCCATTCTTATCAGTAGCACCCACTACAGTAGTACTTTCTACTGATTGTCTCTCTTCATTCAACATACCACAGTATCACTTCATCAAGTTTAGTGACCACATTATAAAACTTGAATAGTAGACTTCGATAGATTTTAGGTGCCAAGATCTAGACAGTTAAGCCATATTTTGTATATGTAGTAGAGACGATAAAATTGATACTCTCGTTCCTGTATAGGTGTTCAGTACTCATATTCACCTACAAACAAGAGTTTATTGAAGTCATTTTTCTTATGCATAAAATCAATAAAGTATACAAGGAAAAAATTGTTTTTACTTAAAACGAGATATGGATATACTTCATGCTATTTTCTCACAGACACAGAAGTGTTTGCTGTGACTACAAAATCTTGGGCATATCAGTGTAGCTTCTAATTGCTTAGTCTCACTCTCTCTTTTGTCTATGAACAGACACTTGTTGAAATATATTAGAGCTTAAGATTTCACGCACTCTGATGTTCATTAGTGAGGGATATCTGATACTTTACCGTCTAAGTATTCAATATTTACACAAATAATAATACCTAATAATCAGTGTAGAATGCTCAATTATTTTTATTGTTCAACAGGATAGTTGATTACTATGTTATACTTCTATTGTTCGATATGCATAAAACATGAAATCATAAATACTTGTCAATGTCACTAGGTTAATTCGTTGATTCTATTGTGTTTTTTTTTGCAAAAGGATTTAGATTGTCATCGAAGAGCATTGTCACCACGTCAATCACTTCAAGAGGATGGTTTAGGAATGATTCTATTAGAAAAAAGAAAGGAAGAGACCTGTAAGCTTTTGATCAGTTATTCTCCTTTCTTCTTAATTCATACTAATTACTTTAATTGTATTTGTAATGAATGTGGAATAAAACATAATTGGGCGTCTTATCATTCGACTTCATACAAATCAAAATAGACTAACAGCTGATCTGCATCAAAACTTGTAATCAGACGATGACTGAGGATTCAAATATTCAAGATGATCACATAGTTCTTGAAGATAATCTATCGTATTTAATGTTATCAAGATAAACTAATTTAACAATCCCTGTATTGACCTGAGAAAATCATCTCTCTTTGAAGTTGGTTCTGATTACACTGCTGTTTCTGAGAAAGACAAAGGAAATATTGTGTCAAGAATACACAGCTCAACGGAGGTGACAATACTAAAAGTATCTATCTTCATCATACTCTGTTTAATCAAACCAAAACACTGGGTTTAATTCTGACGCAGTCTCTATAAGTAATATTTCTCATCAGCTTTTGGTTAGAAAATGTAAAATTTATTAACAGTATCCGGCATATTGGGATGTAAGCTGGATGTCGTATGACTGAGGTGAGTGGTGATATATTGAATCCAAAGTCACACATAAAGCTTATATGGCAACATTCTGGATACCAGCATTAAACAAATCTGAAAGGAACCACTTAGTAATATAGTGTCTTATTAAATTGTTTGAAGACTTCGTTGGTAGCCTAGAGGGTATCTTCATGAAACTGTGGCTTGAAATTCCAAATAAAAACGTTTTAAGTAAGCTTTGCTGATGAATATTAGGAAGCACTGAGGTTAGGCGAATAAGTTTTCTTTGAAGGTCTCTGGATCTCAAATCTATACCAACATTTTATGACACTGGCATCTTGAAAAGATTAGTCAATATCTCCAGCTGGTTAAGCAATAAAGTTTTGAAGTAGTATTTATCATTGACTGACGTCAGTTGGGAAACCATTGAAAATCTGGGAGTACTGAACAGCTGTCTCGTCCCAATACTGCACTCCTCAGCAGTACGCAACCACAACCCGGATACGGATCAAACTCAGGACCTTCAGGTTTCACGACGAACGCGTTAACCATTCAGCCATTGGGTCGGTTTCCAGTGGTTCACAATTTACAACTTCTGTCAATTCACAACATGGGGCGACTATCACCCAAGGTCTTGAGTTAGTAACCACTTCACTTCCGACTGGTTGACCCCACAGGTCATGGCTTCTCGATAGAGCTTTGTGATATGCATCTGGAAGCAATTCACTAATGAGCACTATATATTAATGTATTTTTGAGATGAATGGGATTTTTAACTTAGAAGTAGTATTCATTATGGACTGACATCAGTTGGGGAATGATGAATGCTACTTCTAAATAAAAAAATCCCCATTCATCTCAAAAACACATTAATAAAAGTTAATAAGTAGTTGCAATTAAAAGGATTCTTTTCCATGCCTTTAAAAAGTCAATCTGTACTAATTACATTTTTATATTCACTTGTTATGTAGATAAAACACCATTTACTTTTAGTACAACTACATGATAGAGTTGATAAATGTACCAGTAAGTTGATGTTTCGATTTTTGACTGAAGATAATAGTTTAACAGACGGGAGAGCTTCTTGATATTATGTTTATGCTTGTTTGTACTCATCATCAAGTTTTATCAAAACATCTGATAAAAGTCATTGTTCAGTGATAAATTCAGTGACTTTGTCACTAATTCTGCAATCATCTCAGTCTGTAAGAAAGGGTAGAAGTCTTCCTTTGACAACCATAAGGCAATTAGTTTGACTAATATTGTGTTTAAGATCCTAGAATCCATAGTTAACTGATGTCTAACTGGAGATCGAAAACAGAAAACTTGAGAAAACCAGTCAAGTTTCAGACCTGAACAAGGGTGTATCAACCATATTTTCACCTTTCGACAGGTCCTGGAATATATGCATACCTAACGAAGGCCGATATCTGACACGTTTTGCTTGTCAACCATATGCTGTTGTAGCAGTGTGTGACTGTGAAGGAAGTACCGAGTAAGTATACAACGCTAATCAAAGCTCTTAGTTCGAACTCAAGCAGCCTTGTATGGGCGTATGGAGAGTTGTCATTTGAACTGACGACAACCAGTGGTATCCCCCAGGGATACTACCTTCACAGTTTCTAATTAACTTCGTTACAGACGTGCTTATGAACATAACCCCATCTATTACTGACTTCACAGGGATTAATCTACCCAGTAGACATCATCTGGTTGACTTGGAATATGCAGACGATAATGTTCTGTTAGGCAAAGCCACTGGCAGAGTTCAAGGTCACCTGGATATGTTGAGCAGGAATCTAAGTACGTTTGGCACAGGTTTCACACCTGTTAAGTGTAAGATGATGCTTCGGGACTGGTCAGCAACTATTTTTTTTTAAGGATCGGGATTGAAGTAGTAGTATTTACTTCGCTTACATTGGTGTTACGTCAGCCCAATCTAGCTGGTTGGTGACGAATTATCAGCGCGGATACAGAATACCCGTTTTGTATTTTTGCTAACTTTCTCAATCTTCGAAGTTGACTGGAGAGATATACAACTACCTATTAAACGAAGGGTATACTGTAGTCTGGCTGTGATATATGGTTGTTGAAAGTAGAAGATATGAAGCGATTGTAGGTTTTAGAACACAAGTTTCTTCGTAGCACTGCTGGAATCACCATGTTAGTGATGTTGAGGTAAAGCGAAGGGTACTAAGCAAGAAAGTGAAGGCAGTCAATGAGGTTATGAACTTTCATCGATTGAGGTGAGGTGACTTGGATATGTTTTGCACATACCGAGACACCATCTATCTCGACTTGCAATGCTTTAAGAGGTTGGAGTAGGTTGAAAAAAGGTTCAGGTTGGCCAGACCAAAACTCCTTACCAGTGCATAAATTCTTTGACTACTGGTCTGAGCCGAGTAGGTAGGCGTAAATTACCTGGCTGGGGTCCTCGAGACGACAGGAATCAGCGGTACAGGAAATGGTTGAATATCAGTCACAACAGCGGAGATGTATTCACTCATGGACGTTTTATACGACTTCCACGTTTTCGCTAACCCTTATTTTCAAGTTGTTTTTCTTGCCATTCACCAGTGTCTACTTTTATATAAGTCATTCTGAATCCACTTGTTCTTGGTATGTTACTATAAGATGTAACACTTGAACCAGTACACCTCTGTGTGTAGTTCGACGTCGAGTTTGTCTGTCTAGACCATCTTCAGCACCAAATTACTTTTGAATAATGTTTAAAACCATTTACTGACCTGATCACTCTTACCTCTCCTTTGATTTCCTCAAGTTAACTTCGCTCATCGAGGCAGGCAGTGGCTCAGTGTACACATCATACTTCTTAGCCACTTGTGTTCATGAAGGCTCAAAAGCCCATCAACTGATTAACCTTTCATTGTCTACTACGGTACACCAAACCTGGACGTTACTCACTTGGTGATTCCATCACGTGCAAGAAAGGCTAAGAAGATACCTGTGGTCATGAAGCTATCGTAATGTGCAACACAAAAGAACAAATTAGTGCATAATATAATCAATCTTTGATAGGTAGTCAGATATCTTACAGGTGCCACAGATGTGTTCAGGCTATAAATCTTTGCAAGGACTGGTGCGAATCGTGTACCTGTCCATACCGAACAAAATATTAAGCTGCATCATCCTGAGAAGACTTAGAAATGCTCTGCATTCAAAATTGTGACCGGAACATGCTGGCTGACTGGCTGGCTGGCTGGCTTCAGGAAAAACAAATCATATGTTAATCAAATTGCAAGGCTACTCACTATCATAGAAGATAGCATGGAATGGCAGTTAACTCTCTATCTCAACTTCATCCACATTGAAAAGGGCTTCGATCGAGTCATCGACGGAGAAGTAATTTGACAGCTACTGCTTCAACAATTCGGTTTTAGTGCCACAAACCTTTATCAACCTCATTCAACAGCTAATATGAAGACTCTAAATGCCAATTGATTCACGATGGAAAGCTGAGTGACTTTTTTGAAGTGAAGACAGGAAGGAGTAAGACAAGGCTGTCTACTATAGCCAATGACTTTCCTGATTGTGGTGGACTGGATCATGCAACAAACTGCGAGGAGTAAGAAGAAGGGTAAACTTTGGCTGAACCAATGAAGAAAGCCTGGAAGAAGAATTGGATTTCTCGATGATGATTTATGTCCAATATCTCGTGTCGTACCAACTCGAAGGTGTACAGGCAAAAACCAACAAGTTGACAGAAGAGGCAGAGCAGCGAATGGAGCTGAGACTTCCTTCACATGAACGTAGAGAAGACAGAGGTGATGAAGATACCCAATCAACAACAATAACAAGCAGCAGTCAACATCACCTTTCATCGTCTCAACTACACGGGGCGACGGCACAGATGAGGATATGAAAGCCAGGATAGGAAAGACATCAAGAAAAGCCTTCATTAATCTGAAATCAATGTGAAGATCTACTGCACTCAACATAAAACGTGAACAACATACGGATTTTCCATACTGAAACAATCAAGTAAGTAAGCGCTTGTATGTGATGATCGAGAGACTTGACGTGTTACGGAAAGCATTTTCAACAAACTACAAACATTTATCAACCGCTGCCGCCTACGCTCACTCCATACTGACACTGAAGATTAGATGGCCAGAATAATAAGAATAAGCAACAAGGATCTCTGGCTGACTGATTGGCTGGCTGGTTGGTTGGCTGGCAACGAACCAACGTAGCAAGAACCCATCACCAAACAAATATACAGAAGAATAAATTGGAGATGGATTGTATTATATTGGACATACAGTGAGAAGACCGTTTGGGGACATCATATACCAGACTAGGCCAGACCATTGAGTGGAACTCGATGGGAAACGACGAGTTAGGCGTTCGGGGCAAGAATGACATAGAGGAGGTGGTTTGAGGAAGAAATGAAACCTTGTGGGCAGTTGTGGAGTCAGATTGCGAAGACTGCAGAGAAGAGAGTGAAATGGAGACGTGCTACTGAAGCCCTATATTCCAATAGGAACTAAAGGGATAAATAATAATAATAAAATGTTCAGGCCAAGATTTTGTCAATGATCAGCTCGTTTAGGATAATGTAGTTTTTCGAGTTAGTGAAGTATTCATAACATTCCTTTACTTCATTCCTTATCATTAAAATGGGAGATATCATAGACTAATCCTGCAACATCATCTTATAGTTTGAAGTTTCAGGAATTGTAAGGAATTGTATGTTTTCCAACACTGTGGCTAACCTGATTCAACTTACGATGGAAGTATTTATTTAGAATGAAAACAGTCATACAATAGGGTATATTATATCCTGCCACATAATACAGATTGAATTTCATAACTCAGTCTACAATTTCGGCATAAATAGATATCAGCTGATAAAATAAAATATATAACAACCAGTTATTCAAAAGTTTGTTATCAAAAGATTTTTTATTGTATTCCATCGATGTGACCAACATTTTATTTCTTCTCCCTGCCTAAACATTGAGTAATATTCAGTGTTATTATGTTACTGAATGGTCACAATTATAACCTAAAATTAAATGACAGGAATTTTATTCATTCAGTAATGGCCTTCTTTCTTTTTTTCCTTAACTGCGAATTCTTTTTACAAGCCAATGATTAGTTGTTATTATTTAGGTTGGATTTATTGTTTGACTTGCATTTTGATGTGTTTCTTCACTTCTTCAAGCGTAGTAAAATGTGTCATGACTTCAGCCTCTAATGTGAATGCTCAAACATGTACGCATGATTTGAGTCCATCAAAATGTTCACAGCAACCAAGAAGGCATTTGTGCTAATAGTTAATGACCTATATCCATTCATGTGAGAGATAATGATACTACCTGTTTATTCAAACCTCAGTAGGTAGACTGGAGTTTAACTCCACTACCCATTGGTTGAAAGTCAACTGCCTAGACCAGCAAGCCATAAGATTTGTAGAAACTAAAGTAAACAGCCAAATCCAATAGGAATAAAAATTAGTACTGCATCAAAATTTATGAAAATGAAGTCATTAATTAACGCATAAACGGAATATATGGGGAGTAGGTAGTGGTCGTGTATATGTATGTTAGATAACCTTTAATAGGATTACTGAATGGTACTTTTGACATATTTATGCCATTACATCACCCTTAGAAAACAAAATTTTAAGGAAATGATGATCCAATCAGTTAGATTACTCACTAACTCATCTATGGAGTGGTAATCGATCTTTCCAATACTATATGTTGAAATTTCATACATTTCTGCCTATTCATAGACGTCAATAAAGTAAGAACAACGCCTTTAGCGGAATGATGTAAGTTCCTTTTTATCTTCAAAGGAAAAATCTCGTCTCCGTCTTCTACATACATTGGGGTAACATCAAAATGACCAAATTCAAGTCACTGCTCAACACCAGTGCTCTACATCATCACCATCATCATCAATATCAACATGGGACTAGGCATTACTGCGTAACGGTCCGAGTTACCTGCCGCACCTCATATCAGTACATGAAGTAGAAAGGTAGTGAGGTGAAGGATGAAGATAAAAGAATGCTGTGAAAAGAAATATAAAGTACGAGAAAGAAAGGAAGAATGAGAAAATGGTGAGATTCGGTATAGTTAAGATGAAAATAACGTGTGTATACATCTATGCCACTGACATCTGTTCTGATCCACACCCCTACAGTCTCCTACCACTGGTTCTCTTGTCCTGCGGACCCCAATCACCTAGTCTGCATTCCCCACATGGCTCAGACCAACAGTCAAAGACTTCAAACATTGGTGCCATATATTAGTCTGGCCACCTCGGGCGTTTTTCCAACCTAATCGGTGACTAGCATACGCAACACGTGTCCCAACCATCTCAGTCGATGAAGGTTCATAACCTCGTCAACTGATTTCCCCCTAGTCCCTAAAACTCCACACCTGAGCCTGACTTCTGCATTACTCACTTGGTGACACCACGGAATACGGCCTATACTACGAAGGTAAGGGTGGTCAAACACTTGAAGCTTTCTCATATCTTCCACCTTCAATGACCAGGTTTCACAGCCATACAGTAGAATAGACCGAACTGCTGTGCAGGTGCAGTACACGCGACCTTAATAGACAAACGGATATTACGGCGGCGCCATAGGTGGCCCAGTGCTTTACAACACCCATACCACTTATGAACTGAATGTTTATAATATCAAATTGTATATCACAATATATGAAATCACAAACTTTTATTGAACTGACAAGAATGTAGTTTGAAGCTTTGTACAGATTTATTTATTGATTTCAAATTGATATTCATAACAGACTGATATCAATCAGAGAACCCTTAAAAACGGGGGAACACTGCATTGCTTTTTCGCAGTAATATGGGGCTTCATGGTAGCGCTTACTCATGGCCTCCAGGTTCCACTGCCAGCACTTTATCGTTGAGCCTTTAAGTAGGAATCCACTGATCAACGACGACATCATATGGAGGTCTCGATGTATCGCGAACTGACGGAAGTCCTTGTCAAGGAACTCGAAAGTCCCTCTTTAGACTCTTTTAGGGGTTATGCGAGTGTACTGCTGAAGAGTCGCATACTAGGATGAAACAGCTGTCCAAACCTCCCGAGTTTCCAATGCTGTTCTAACTGATGACAGGAATATAATTGATAAAAACATGTTTTTCACTTTACAAAGGTGCCATCTACCTTATCATGTTCCATTTTACTACTTGACTGAAACAATGACCATATTCTTTTCATTTTGACTATCTTAGATGCCTACAGTTTGGTACACTAGTAATTATTACTGAGTGATGAGTAAAATTGAAATAAAAAGCTGGAAAGCAGCCGCATTTGAACCATTGACCACTGGGTTCTCGGCCCGATGCTCGAACCGGAACTCGTAACTCAGTTGGTAGCTCATTGGGGTAGGAAACCCGATGGTCGCTTATTCGAATCCAGCCACAATCCAAATTTTCATTTCACCTTCAATCATCACCTAGTAAATACTCTTTTCAATTATTCATTTCTAATTAATAAGATTTACTACTTTATTTAGTGAACATATTCACCAATATAATATATATTAGAAATTTATCAAAGTGGCAAAAATATTCTGAAATCAAATAAAAAGTTAATGTATTCACTATTGCATTCCAGTCTTCAATATCTCTTCTTATTCTAATGTCAATAAATCTGAGTCATTGAAAAAAGTGTAGTTTTTTTTTTCAGCTTTATGAAAAATTCTTTATAACATGATAATTTTAATCACTATGCAGAAAAGATCGCCGTTTTTTATACTTTTACAGTGAAATAGTTTTCCTCTGATATCGATAGCTTTTTTCGATATATTATTGTAATAATAATAATAGTAATAATAATGATAATAATAACACTAGTGGTAATAATAATAATGGTAATTATTGCTTTACTTTCATTCAGTCTAAATAATTTCAGTGGGGAATTAAACTCAGGATCGAAGGAATCCATCAATCTGGATATAGATCGTGACAGCACACTACGATGTTCTAATGTGAGTGTTATTTTCACTGATAGATAAGCAACTGACAGTTTAGTATAAAGTTGAGTTTCGCTTGATGTAGCAATATGGACAAGCATTTTTTTTCTATATGAGTTAAGTTATGAAGTCTTGGTGTATTAAATCCATTAAGCTTTAAACATGTAAGTAGTAGGTAGTATATTCATCGTATGGTAGACAGGTATCCTTCATAACCTAGTACACAAATCCGTTTCTTGTTGTTCACTTATGTTATGATGACTGTACCTTTCCTGACCCTCTTATCAATCATGAGTTTGAAAATTCAATGAGTTTATGTGAAGTAGTGTAGTAGGTCAATGTACAAAGTGACTACATTTGAATTTACCTTGATACAATAGACGTACTGGAAGTAGATGTTTGAAGCAGAATGATTTTGAATTGCATATGATTTTTGATGATTATCAAGTTACTGAGTTAACCGCCTTTTCATATTAGCTTACTCTACTTGATATAGCACTATTAACCACAATGAATAGACTAATTTAATGTAGAAATTCACTCTACCAAAGTGTCGAAATTCCTTACTTACAATAACTTTGTTTGGAAAACGACTACAACTTCAGAAAGTAGAATATATCTGTAAGAGTTTTTACAGAAATTAATATGACCGAAAACTATTTTTACAAACTGGTGTCACTTAAAGAATCCTTGGAATTAATGAAACACTATACCTGTTATTCTGTTTTATTTAAGGATTTTTCAGAATTTCATACATAAGATGTGTTGTGAAGTCAAACTACCAGATTTTATAATGAGTACAATGCTTATGCTTCATGAAGTTAGACTAAAATGGTTTAGATTTGTAAACTTCAGTCAAACAGCCTTTCGACTTCAATATAGATTTTCTTCTTATTTATGCATTCCCTGCTAAACAATCAATTAACATCATAGGAAAAGACAAAACATTTTTCTTTTCAACGAAGTCATTTGCTAAGCTGTACATTCGTGAATACATGCAGCAGTGAGCAGAACGTTCTAGAGTAATTTCCGGTTAGGAGGTAAAATATACTGAACAACTAAATGAAGTTAATTAATACACATTTGGGTTTAGAGTGAGAAAATGGACAAGAGATTATGAAAATACATGTGTAGTTACCTAATAAAAGATGAATGTATACGGTCAAGACCTTATGATGGTTACTGCAAAGATAAAGATTGGACGTACCTATCTTGGAAGCATAACTCTGGTTTGAACTTCTAGATGGTTAGTATTTCAGCTATAGAAAAATGCTTTGGCCTTATCCCTTTCAAATAGTTTGATCGACCTTGTAGAGAATTTTGAATGAACTCTCAAAAAGGGCTAAGTGGCGTGAGTTCATAAGGTTTTGCATTATTGAGCTTAAGATATATTTCCGTTCTCCCTTTGTCAGTCAGGCTGGATAGCATTAGCGGGCACATTTTACAAGCGGACTCATGGTACAGCTGATGTATTCAGCTCCACAAGGGCAAGTAAACTGGTATACACAAGTTGATGTTGCCTAATGCATCGGCTTGTCTTTCACATATTGACCAAAACGTTTCTTGCAGGAGAAAATAATTTGAAAGTTGGCGGCAATGTATGTTCTACTTAAGAATTTTAACAGTCGTTTCCTGACGATGTCTGCAGCAATATCCCCTTTGAGTTCAAGGTTCAACAAAAGAGTATTTTTCGGAGTCAAATGTGTTCGTTCAGTTGGGTTCTTTGGCTTTATGTTCTTATTTAGGAATCTGAGCCGCAAAGCATTTTCCGCTAGAGTTCGTCGAACTGTTTGCTGTTCACTGTCAACAGTGTCCACAGTAAATATTTTCTTGACCCTCGAGGAAAGTGAATAGATAAGATTTCTCTTCCTACATACAGGGACTGAACTTTGGAAATTAATAAATTGCCCGTTTCACGTAGACTTTTCGTAGATGGATCTACAAAGTGAGTTATCACCTTTTCTTCGGAGTTGAACATCAAGAAAATGCAAGTTTGAGTTTGACTCTGATTTAGAGTGAATTTGATTGAAGGGGGGCGTTGTTGAAAGTATGAAGCATGTTTGCAAGATCCGTATGTTCATCGTAAACTATTATGGTAGCATCAGTCAATCTTTTGCAGACATCAAGCCCATGGACTATTTATGATAAACTGGTGTTTTCCAGTTTTGCCATGAAATAGTCAGCTAGGAGAGGTCCTAGTGAAGAACCCATTGCCACACTGTCTGTCTACCTGTAGATCTCATTAAATCTGAAGTGTATATTAAAGGTACATCGAAGTAGAAGCGCTTTTAGGTAGTAAATTGAAATACCAACATCTGTGTTATGACACTGAACCAACATAGGATCAGGCATCACTGTCTAACGGTCCAAGTTGCTCAACAAGTAAGAAAGTAATAAGGTGACAGATGAAGGACATATGAAGAGAAAGATGAAAAGAAAGTGTGGACATATTTACTCCACTGAAATCGATTCTGAGTAATATCACCTAAAGTCTCCAACCACCGGTTTCTCCTTCCACATGGACCTCACTGGCTAGTCCGCATCTTCCTACATGGCTCAAACCAACAGTCAAGGAATTAGTGCAGTGATATCATGCTTTATTTTGGCCACTCCGAGCCCTTTTCGGCCTTAACATACTTTGGCCAACATTGCGCAATGAGCAGACGGTGACTAAGCATACGTAACACACGTCCCAGTCATCTGAGCGGATGAAGGCTCACGACCTTATTAGGTGAATTTCTTCTCCCCCCTAGAACTCTACACTTGACTTCTACATTACTGATATGGTGAAACCACGACACACAGCGTATGCTATCAAGGGGTGTTGTCAGAAGCCTGAGCTCTTCTCATATCTTCTATCTATAATGGCCATGTTTCACAGCCATACAGTAGAACACTGCGAACTATAACACAGCACACTCAACCCTTAATAGGCAATCAGATGTCGTGTTGGTGCCACAGAAGACATAAATTGAGAAAAGTCAGTTGCGTTTTTTGAATCCGTGCCAACTAAGACTGATTCCTGTCGAGCGTTGAATAATTTTTTTCAGTTGCAAATGTTTGCAATAAAATAATTTCAGGAAAGTTTTTACTAAGTAGAGGTATCTTAAACAAACCTATTCTGTGAAAACGGTTTTTGAATCTTATCAAATTAATCGCCTTAACTTAAATGCATCACCAAGCTGTTTTAACTATTGGTTGTATACAACTATCATTCGAGTGACAAGATGTAAATTTCCTAAGAGAACAACCTTCTATGCTTGATTCCCTTTTCTAAACACTTTTTATAAGTTTCGAATCCCTATCTTGTTCAGCGAATTTCCCACTTATAGAAGGTCAGTTGAAGAAAAAGCATGCAATAGATTTCTAGCAAACTTGTCCTCGAAATGCTGGGGAATATTTATAGTTTTCGTGGATGGTCTAGTGTAATACAAGCAATAACACTAAAACTATACCCGTCGCCCAAGAAGTGGTTATCGTGGTTCGGTGGTATAGTGGATAATGCTCTGACGTTTGAAGCGATCGGTTCTGGGTTCAAGTCCCGGTGGGAACAACACCACTCACTGGAAGACAAGTACATCCACCTGACGCGTCCCAAATAGGACGAAATACACATCCTCGATTCCACTGCTAGCCACTGCCCATCACTGCTATACATAGTTAAAAGACAGGCAATATTGAGGCATCCGCATAGGAGCCCATATGCCAACAGAAACTGATCAATTCGGTCCAATCAACGACGGTGTAATACAAGCAATAACACAAAGTCAATAAGGTTATTTAAAATAATTCCGATAGTTAGAAGGTCAATTTTGCATATTAATTATGCAGTTGAGTAAGCTTAATTGTCGATGAAAACTAATAACACAAAATAATATAGCTATAATACAATAATTTTTCTAGAAAGTAGTCGTATTTCTCAACAATTTTGGATATAACCTATTTTCCATAGTAGAATATTAGGGTGGCCAGCACTATGACACTCAGACATGGTTACTTTTTTCTCTTTTGTAATAAATTACCAGTTAGTTTTGATATAAATCACCTCTACACTAACCTACTAATTTGTATGGCTGTAGGAGGTTAGTTAAAGATGAACTAAACACTAATCATAAGCTTACGCTTTGAACTACCGTATTACTACTAGTTGAGAGTACACTTACGCTTGGATTTTGCAGTCTTTAGGTATCAGAATAAAATACATAAACAAACAGAAGTTGTCATTCGATCTCTTATATCTCCTATTATGGCAGATCATATTTATCGATAACTGAGAACAGATAAACCTTTGAAATATTTAGCTCTCCTACTAGCACATAGTTGAGATATGTAGATAACACATTAACACAACTAGAATGGAATCGTAGCACGTACATAGACTTGAAATGATGGAGAATATTTGTAGCTGAGGTGAATGGTCTTGGTTGTATTGCGTTGTCTGAGCTGGCTGGGTTGTTTAATCGTGAAGCTTTTATCGCCTTGCTAAACGACATCATCAGCACTAACTTCACTATGAAGTGAGCTGTCAGTATCTTCCCATGAGTGATTTAGTAGCTTGACCTGACAAAGCGGTCTCTGACTGATTGTTTCCTTTGATTGTTGTGTCGTTGACTACATAGATTTTCCTGTTGGCTGTTCTTCTGCTTCACCTCTGACCTTTCTGTCATTTATCATTTTTCTTATTGGTTGACAGATTGGGTCTATGTCTATACACCTATTGATTGTTGACTGACTAACCTGAATGCCAAGCTTCTAGGAATTCTCTTATATGCTTTGTGTTTCCTATCTCCGTCCAAGATCAGCACTGCACTGTCAAAAGTGAATTCATGTCCATAGTTGTTATTCACGACCATTGAAATGAGTGATGAAATGTTGTGGCTTTTAATAGTTAATTGGTGTTCACGTAAATGATGAAGGCGAAGAGGGCGACCACTTTGTCCAATGTAGTGTTGACTACAATTATTGAAGTTGATTTTGTAAATGACATTCGGTTTGTTCTCATTGGTTGTTGCATACTTTGGTTTGCATAATGGTAATTGGAGAAAAAGTTTTGGTTTCTGAGCCACATCAACTGCAAGTGGTCTGAATAATCTTGTCGTGATCTCATATATATCTTTTATGTACGGAGGGATGATGAGTTTATTGATTTCTGTCGGTGACTTTTTAGTTGATGATATACGGTATAGGCGTCTTCCGATAAAGTTTCATGCGTAGCCGTGACTATGATGTCGTCTAGAAAGACGATGGAAGCTCCACGATTAAACAACCCAGCTCAGAGAACAACCAAAACTTGTCTTCATTGTATTGTCTGTTCCATGGTACTGATAAATTTTTATCAATCAAGTCTGTAAAATAAGTAATAATCTAAATTAATAAAGTGTAGTGAATCCTGAATAATCAACGAAAGTTTGTAGGTAACCTTACTGGATATAAGTTTCACACATGCTATAGCACTCGTGTTCTCAAAGTTGAGGACGCTGTTACTTCCTGAAAAATACAGTGAACATGTGATACAGATTAGCATGATGAGACTTCGTTAATGATTAGCATGGGCTTGAATGACTTTAGGTAGTAAGGATTAAGTCACCAGCACAAGAAAATAGTAACTAATACCATATCATGTGTTTCCTGCAGCTCAACAACTGTCTTCGCCTATGTTTCTCTAGCTACATGATGCTTTTCTACCGATGGGGCTGAATGTTCTCCAAATAATTTACAGAAGCCAATGATTAAGGTACAGCGCTTGTTAGCATTCATCATCTAGAAGTATTTACATCTTTAAGGAAACCCATACCTTCTCAGAAATCTGAATTCATGTCAGCTCTCAAAAGGCCTAGATTGCTTCAATTTTATTCATTCTGACAAATGTCAACAAGCATGAAATTCAGATTGAACAAAATTTTCTACTCATTACCTCTAATCATCTACTGTTGAGAATTACTACCTTTCCAAGTTCTTCATTTTGGTTTTACATAAGCTATTTAAGCGATTGATTTAAAAAGGCTACTCTTATTCTAATCCAATTATCTACAGAGAGGATCATTTCTGGAAAATATACCTAAACCATCGGATTGGAAACCTGTTCCACAGGTATTTTACTTTCAATTTATTAATATACTACATTAGACTTTTGAAACATATACCAGGGTTTAATTACCTAACAGAATGAAAATGGTGAACTGAAATCCTCTTGTATATTATTTAATGGGTGTAGACTATTCTAACATAATATTGCTCATTAACATGAGAAGTGATTATAATGAACTTAAATAATTCAAAATCCTTAATTACTGGTTATAGTTTTTGATTAAATAATATTCTAACTTTTATCTGTCAGTATCACAGTTGAAAACCATGTTTCGCCTTATTTTGTTAGTTTAAAATCAATCTATTGAACCAGTGTGTTTTGTTTCAGTTGACTTCTTGATGTGTTGATTAATAACCTTTTGATTAAAGATTTATAATACATTCATAATTCCCATTATGACATTTTTGATATATCAGATTCTCCTTATCATTATATCCCCCAGTGGTTAGTTGAAATACTGGAACCAGTCAGAAGATAAGTGCCTTGTTGTTCTATTCGTGATAAATTTCAGTTTATTGATAGCATTAAGGATGTTAACACCACCAGTAAAGTTATATTTCCCTTAGATGTTACCTAATTGTTCATCAATGTACCACTCACTGAAACTGTTTGTTACATATGTGATTTCATTGATACATACAATATAAAGTAGGAATTCCAACAAACTACTTGAGAGAGCTATTGATGAGATACACTTTTAATGTATAATCTAGTTTCGATGGTGAGGTATATCGGCAAAATGAAGGAATCGTAATGGAACCCCCATGGGGACCTCTAATGGCACATTGTTTTATGTCACAACTAGAAAAAACTCTACTCTTAGCGAAACTACTCATCATCTTGACATTTATAAACAATATATGGATGATATATTCGTTATTTATGACTATCAACTATCAATCTAGATGACATCCTACGCGAATTCAACAATAGTCACTTAGCACTGGAATTCAATACTGAGAGAGAATTGGAAATAGTTATTCCTTTCGTTGACTTGCCGATTACGAGACGTACCGATTGAACACTGGAAAGATCCATCTACAAGAAACCCACATGGAACAGACAGCATACTAATTTCTATAGCTGGGTGCAGATCATAACGAAAAAGAACCTCATCCACTCATTCTGCTATCGAATACGTAATATTTTTAACACAGAATGTGTCCGACTTGAACTTGAGTTACTAAGACGGACACTCACGGAAAACGGCTATCCTAGCCGATTTCATGATAAGAATATGCAAGAAACACATGCAAAACCAGTCATTAGCTCAGTTTCAAAAAAGACTTTGTTCATAAACCTGGACTTCAAAGGTGATGCAGCCTCAGATATCCTGAGAAAATCTTCTTTCCAGATCAGTTAGTAGGACTCTTTTTCTCAGCCAAACTTCACTTGATCTTTACCAGTCGTAAATTGTTCTCCATTTGTATAAAAGACAATATCCCTCAACAGGCCATATCCACGTGTGTTGACCAGTTTACTTGCTCCTGTGCAACAAGTTACATCAGCTGTAGTCGGAGATTGCTGTCAACATATTCCGGCCTGGTTTTACAACGTGAAAGGGAATGCATCAGAAGTTATATCCTTGAATATTTAATCGATTCCAACCATTCAACCGACCGCTGACAATGATTTTGAGATTGTCTATGGAATTCGCTGAAACACTTCACGTTTCTCCCGTGTTCAGCTTCTAAAAATGTCAATTGCCTTGGCTATCCATGAACTGAAGCCTGACCTTTGTGTGCAAATGAAGTATGTACAGTCTCTGTCTCTACACTGGCCTTAATTTATTTTGGTCTTGGTGGGATTCGTACTTTTTTCGTTTTTTACCCCTTCCCCCTTTTTTGTCAGAATAATCTTTGTACTCTTATATTGTTATTATCACTCTATTCTTTGTATTTATTTATTTCCAGTATTATTTCATTTGATCTACTTAATAATCGCAACTTTTAACAAAACATTTTCAATTTACTCCAATTAACTTGTCTCATTTATATTACCTAATCATTTGATTGTTTATTAACATTCTCATCCCTTTTAATCTATATCCACCTTATAAACGATTTGAAAGTCTTACGTAACCCCTTTTTGTTACTATTCTACCTTTACACATCATCAACTATCAACATTATATATTTAGTTCCCTTGACATATTTTGAATAAAGCAAAAACAATGACATTAACAGAATAAAAATGGGCTCATTTTATTTCACGACATACAGCATCAGCCACAAACAGCCTACAAATCCAATGAATAAGTAGTGGTAATAATAACATAACATACTTTAAATATGTAAAAATATAAATGAGTCAAGGAAACAAAGGATTTACCACAATTCTGATGAGATAGAAAATTCTAGAGAAGTGGAAAGGGGGGATAACAACAAAACAGTTAGTAAGTAATTAACGAAGAAGTGATGCAATGAAATAAAAAGGAGGACTATACACTTACATATGCGAAACGTTATAAGCAATTACCAAGGTAACGAAAGGCTGATTCTTGTCACTTTCTGAGTAAATAGGTTAAACTGAAAATGTCTGATGGTGACAGCTTCCGCAAACTGTAATAAACATGGCTTTCTTTGTTTGATGATTATCCTAAAGGATTGAAAAACATCTATTTGATGTCCTGTTTTCATCAGATGCCTGATAATTGCACTGGTAAAACATTGCCACCATACAGACACATTTCTCGGAATATGATCATGAAATCGAGTAGACGCCCTTCTTTTGATCTGATGGGCATTTGTCTACTTTCGACTGTGTTATTGAGCATCATGTATTATAAACTGAAATCAGTCTGGCAACAGAGAAGCTTCTTTTCAGTATGGCTTTTATTCTTCTGTCTATTCTTTTAGATGTCTCATCACCTTTGAATGCTAGGCAAAGGAAAAAGGCTTTTCTCAACAGTTGAATGTTTAGGTCTCTCAATAAATTCTTTTTCATGCTTCATGATGAATATCTTCAGATATCCATTCTCTTTAAGAGCCTTCTCAATGGTACTGAATACTTCTTCTTGTTATCTTTTGAGGATAGCGGTTTTCTTCTAGTGAAGAGCGTCTTAACCAAACCACGCTTATAGCTGATAGGACAGAAACTATTCTATTAAAGGCACTGACCAAACCATGTGCCTTTCCTGTAGATAATTTTCTCAACCGTACCATAACACCTCCGTCTTATACTCAGAACCAAACAATTGAATCTGTCTTCATTTTCTTATTCTACAGTAAGATTCATATTTGGATGAGCTTGATTGAAGCATCGAACAACTTTAACTCACGATTCATATTATTGCATATTTTACAGTTATCTCCTTTGTTCTTGCATTGTTCAAACAATGTATCCAGCCATATCTTGGAAATATCACTACCTGTTGAAGTCAATGTGTTTTCTTTCGAATAAACATTCTTCACGTGTGGAGTTCTTGCGTCTGTGTGTGTGTATCTTGATGAAAATGTCGGCGATTGTGAGTAACAGGTAGTGCATTATCCCAATAGAATCTCACTCAGCATTCCCTTCTGCTTTATATTCAGATCATCTCTGTGACATGTGAGCATCCTATTTGATGATTAAAACTGAACTGTAAAGTACCTATGCAATTCACCAGTTCCAGGTCTTATTTAACTCCATTATTTGTTGACTTCTAGTGTTAGAGTACTTCTCATAATCTTCAACTTACTCATATCTTTTCTTCAATATCGAAAACCTCTAAAAGTAAATCTTCAAGGTAACATTCATCACCAACTGACATCATTTGGAGAATCGCTGATGACCTGGGAGCACTGGAAAGTTTGTGATGAATGCTACCTTAAAAATAAAATCCTCATTAACCTCAAAAAAACCCTGTTGTAGACTGCGTTTTCGTTTCTTCAATATTTCACTTCAGTATATTGTGAATTTATGTGGTGACTTTCTCAAGCTAACTTTGCAATCACTAACTATCTTGTTGTTTTTCCTCTAAATTTATGAATCGATCGTAGATTTTTTAAAATTTATTGCTTTTTTCACCTTGGATCCTGAATGTTTCTGTAATTTTACACATGTTTGCACAACGCAAATATAACGCCTTATCTTCTTGGTGAGATATTTTTATTCCTCATTCGTGTATATCATTCATCACTGTGTATTGTTGATAACGATATATCGTCATAGTTGGATAGGATATGAGGACAGAAACGATGCAACCTATTGCACTAAGTTAAATATGATTAATTAAACCTTGTTTGCCTTATCTAATCACGCTGATTTGAGTGTATTCGCTTATGAGTCACCTTGTATGCTTGTCTCGATGCTGTTGTAAATTTCACTTCAACCCTTTTGGTTAAATGTTCAGTTAGAAGTGGATTTAAGACAAAAATTTCATTTTTTTTATTGAAATTTGGTTTTTCCGTTGCTATATAGGGTTGAATTACCTAACCTATGTTGGGAGATAGTCTTTGCGGATGCCTCGACATTTTCGTTCCTCATTGGCTTTGCTGATAACGTTTTGATATTTGGTGCAATGGTTCCTTGTTTTAAGTGTCAGTGTGAACAACTTTACTGTTGTGCAGGTACATCCAGCTCTCAAGTCCTAAATAGGAGGAACTATGCGTCCTGGATTCCACTGCCACCAATCAAATAAACTACAGTGAGTGACGCTGCCTCCAGTGACACTGATGCCAAAATAGCTAGAGCACCAAACACTATCCACTAGACTTCTGAGTCGTGAGGGCCCATTGTTTTGATAAAAACATATGCAAGTTATCTGGATTTTTTTAATTCTCTGTAGTTTAGTTTATGGCATTAGGTTGATCCGTTTCTATTAGCGAAGGAGTTTTGTTATAGAAGTTTACAAATTCAGTTTCAGAATAAAAACTAATGCCCCCTGCACAAAACTTGTCTGTTGCAACTCACTATCCAAATGGATAACACTGCAGTTTAGAAGCTAAGAATCCTGGGCTCGAGTTTGAATTACAATCTAATCAAAACCAATCGAATTCACTTAAAAAGGAAAAAATTGATTTTAGTCCTAAAGCATGTCGACCGTGGCTGGGATAGCTCATTAATAACATCTCTGAATACAACACTGGCTGATACCGGTTTGAACCTCATAGGGGACATCAATTCCTTCGAATTTGTAGATATGCCCCACTGACGAGTGCCTACAAATACGAAACCCGGGTTGAAGGCTTCCAGTCGATCTTCTTCTACCAATTACTATCTATCAAAGTATGTTGCAGTGCTGAGCCTCCTAGATTGGTGGCCATATTGAAAACTGATCGACAGAATCCAGTCATCACTAAAGACATCAAATTGTTTCTCTCTAGTGACCAATCGATGTGAATTACCTCTTTTAGGAATAATATTTAGATGTTAGTGTATTCCAGCATAAAATTGCGTAATAAGCTCCTTTGATAATTTCCTTTTGTTTATATCACTTAATATCTCAAACTTTACACATTGCAGATGTTGGCTAGCGTCTTAAGCTTACTGTTCCTCAACCTCTCATTTCATCACAACAACTGAAGATTCATTACGTTATAATTTACTTGCTGGAAGCTAACAGTTGAACCCAGACTGCGCAATCTGACCTCTATGAGACTTGTCAGTAGAATTTACCTGTCTCCCATTGAGCAATGTTGTTCCCATCAACCCCCCAAAAGCAAAATTGATCATTCCAGACGCTAGAGTGTTATCCACTACACCACTGAGTCATGATAGCCACTTTTTATGCAACAGGTATAGTTTATATGATGTTACTTGCATTATACCGTAGTCTAGTGGATAACTTTCTGGCATTTGAATTCATAAGACTGTAGTTTGTCTTAATCGGAATAACATCACTCACTGAGAGGCAAATTCATTAAGCTGATGAGTCCCAAGTAGGATGAGAAATACTTTCAAGATTTCACTGCTGATCACTTTCTATCAATAATATTTGCGTAAATTAATGTTCAAATTCTTTCAGGTTGTAAGCAGCTGATGAATAACTACGAAATAAAATGGATCTATGCTATTCTGCTAAAGTTGTTGTTTTCGCTGCATTTAAATTTATGAAAGGAAAAAATTGTATGAAATTATTATAAACTAAAATTTATTGATACAATCTTCTACATTTTACATTCATTCACTTAATTTTTATTTTAATCTCTATTTTCTATCAAGCTAGCAAATCTCTTTTTAATTGGATCTCCATTAGCTTTATTTATAGCTATGAATGATTTACCAGCAACAAATGACCTCTCTTCATCTACACAATCTTTATACTCTACTTACTCAAGTTATGATGAACCGGAACAAACAAAAATTTTACGTGCTTTACTTAATACAGTTGGCACCCCAAATAAGCATACTGGTGTTGATTTAGATGAAACTGATGCTGAAGCGTTATTTTCATATTTTGCCTGTCGAAGAGTATTCAATATTTTTCATTCATACGATCCAGTGGTAAGTATTAAATTGTCTATACTTTTCTTCTATGCATATGCATTTTCCAGTCCACTTTATCTTTAAAGTATAATATTTTGGTAAAATTCAGATAAATATAATAAGTTAATGATGGATCATGGCTAGCAGTGGAATCCAGGATGAGCATTTCTTCCTATTTGGAACTCGTCAGCTGGATGTACCTGCTTCCGAGTGAGTGATGTTGTTCGTTTGAACCGATTGCTCCCCAGTCCGAATCCCGGTGGGAACAACATCACTGACTGGGAAGCAGGTACATCCAGCTGACGAGTCCAAATAGAACGAAATGCTCATCCTGGATTCCACTGCTAGCCACCATTCATCATTAACATAAACAGAACGCCGGCAATATCGAGGCATCCGCACAGGAGCCATATGCTAATAGCGACCGATCAATTCGGTCCAATCGACAACGGTATCATATAAAAACAATTATACTAAAAAAACATAATAAGTGATCTGAGTGATTCTCATAAAATGAAAACATAAGTTTGGTAAGTTTAAATTGATCTACTGAAATTCGGTCACCACAAGTTAATATTTCCCCGGTAAACGCTACAAGACCAAGTATCAATACAAGTCTGCCAAATCACGCCAACCTCAGATTATCAAAATGGTAATCAGTAATATTTATTGACATACTTGTTATTGTTGTTTTGTTCGATCGAACTGTTCGACCTCCATTGGCGTATGGGTTCCTATGCGGATGCCTTCATACTGCCGAAATGTTAATTATGATAATTTGGTTGGTTGTGACTAGCAGGATAATCCAGGACGAGTGTTTCTTCCTAGTTGGGACTCGTCAGCTGGATATGCCTGCACCCCAGTGAGTAACGTTGTCCCCACTGGGACTCGGACCTCGTACCTATGACTTCGAGCGCTAAGGCGTTATCCACTATGCCACGGAGGAGGGATAGCCGCTTCTTGTACAACTGGTAGTAGTTATTACTTTTTACTGACATACTTGTTCGAGTCCCAAATAGGACGAAACGCATGTCCTGGATTCTGCTGCTAGACACAATCAACCAAATTATCAAAATGATGATCATTATGATTCTCCTTCTTCTCTGATTCAAGTAGATTTCGATTGCGATAAGAAGTTTTAACTGATCAACCAGTGTGATTATGATCAAGTGATAGTAACACGTCACTAATTCATGTTTAATTTGAGGAAAATTCTTGATGATTGAAGTAAAATAAAAATGTGATCATCACTGAGGTCTCGTAGCTCAGTTGGTAGTGCATAGGTGAGGGATTCCGATGGCTGCCGGCTTGAGACTTTCAGCGATTCATATTTCTCTTTCACCTTTAGTCATCACTCAGTATCAATACAAGTCTGTCTAACGATGGCTATATCAGATGGTCAAACTGACAACATGATTAAAAGAGAAGAAAAAATAACAAGCAGAAAGTCAGCATAATCGTATAATCTGTGATTTATAAGGATTGATTAATTTCAGAGTAGTTCTCGTTATCGATTAACATCAGTTGCAGAAATACTGAAAAGTTGAGAGCACTGAACAAGTTTGTGGCTCCTCAACAGTATGAACTCATGACTCCATAGGAGATCAAGTTTTGGACATGTAGATCTCATAGCGAACACATATCCTTCAAGTCACTTAGCTGGAATCCAATCGTTAACATCTCTATGTTGCATAGAAGTGGGACAGTTCAGGAAATCACAAAAGTAGCGAAACCATTAAGTTGAATCCAAGATAGAGGGAAAGCAAATGTTTAAACATAGTTTTTACATTAATCCATAACATTGTGATCAATTTAGAGCTATTCCGCTTATTGTCCGAAACCTTCTGTCCTGAAAATCCTAATCAGGTACACGGTTGAGACTAACAGTCAATAGTTGATTGGTGTTTGACATTCTTAGATCTTCTATTATATTATTCCACTTAGAGGCCTTCTTAGATGAGTAGCCTTCTAACTAGAAGAGAATTACGCCAAGTTTGTAATCGGTGTATGCTAAACAAAGCAGAAGTTTTGAATGTAAAGGATTTTTTTAACCATTATAATATAAACGTTAGAGTATATGCGAATAGTGTGTTTAAATGTCCTCCCTGACTGACCAGGGATGTCAAATTTTAATATCGTTGACGTTCGACTGCTAATGAATACGCTAATATCAAAAATACACTTATTCAGTTTGAAGGTTTGTAGAGACAGTTGGTGAGCCACTGAAAACATGAGAGCACTGAACCGCCGTTTCATCCTAGTAGGGACTTTCCAGCATTGGGCGTCCATGATATCCTCAGGGACTGAACCGAATACCTTCGGATTTCACAGAGCCCCCATTACCATTGATCTATCGGGTCGGGATCAACTTTCACATTTCCTTATTCATCCTTTGGTTCCTAGTGGAACTTACGGCTTCAGTAGCATGTCATCATTTCACTCTCTTTCTGCAGTTTCTCACCTAGCTCCACCACTGCATACGCTTTCATTTCTTCCTCATACCATCTCCTCCATATCACCCTTACTCGGACGCCCAACTCGTCGTTTCTCATTTGGGCTCCACTCGATGGTCTGGTCTGGCATGTGATGTCCCCAAACGTTCTTCTCACTGCATGTCCAATGCAACTCAATCCATCTCCTTCTACATGTTTGTTGGACGACAGCTTCTTGGTTCGTTGGTTCGTTGTCCGTCAGAGTTCTTGCTCATTTTTATTATTCTGGCCATCCCATATCCAGTATCGAGCGTAGGCAGCTGGTCTACAGTTTACTAATTGTAGCTACACTCATACTCTTTTGAGTAATTATAAAAGTAGAGTGAAGCTAGACCCTCTATCAATGTAAGCATAGAATTTGAGCATTTCGGTAGGGTTCAGTTTCTTATAAGACTGGTCATTTTGATACAGCACACTGACAAAATGTATTTTTACTGGATGACGTTTTGAGCACAATTTATTTCTCATAATCACCTCAATGTAATCTCACATCTTGCCGACTTTCTTTTTATACGTTTACTATTTTTTTTTAATTATTCGGTCTTATCAGTAGTGGAAGTTTTTGCATTTTTACAATCGGTGTGGAATTATTCCTGTTAAAAGTGTTAGGCGTTGATTCGATGAAAGGTTATTCAGTCATCAACCTCTCTCTTCACATGACTATATTGGCCTTTAGGCCTCTCACTCTGTCCCATCCTATTGTGCGGTTGTATGTTGTTGTATGTATAGATGTAGCGAAATTCTTTTCTAGAATATGCATCGTAGTACGATCTTGTTAATTTTGACTTAGATTTTCCCCTGAGTAACCAAGATCGGCTACTTTGGCCTATGGACATGATTTCAACATCATTGTATAGTATTTGTCATGTTAAATCATTTTGCCTAATTAGATCAATAGAATCTTGAAGCTGACAAAGTTTGTTTCTGAGTGAGTTCGCAGGTTTGAATGCCTTCCTGATCCCAGCCTTGTTGAGAATCCTAAGTAAGTCTGTGATGTTCCTTCTTTATATGGTAACACTATAGAAGCCTTGAATTTCTTCATAGTCATTTTGCAAGCATCTTTCCTATCAATACTTCTTCTTTTTTGGGCATTCCTATGTAGTACGAGGATAACTGTCTAGAATTAAAGCTTCTCTTATGCATTTCATTTAGAGTGGGATTAAACTTTTTAAAGCTATGCATTTCTAACTGTTCATAGAAATATCTGCATTGATTAGAGATATTGATGGTCTCATTGTTACTCCTTCCATTCGTTCATGTATATCTTGAAATTTGAAAACTGTAAAATTGAAATGTTAGTGAACTCTTAACATGTTATTGTCAAGTAGTACCCTAGTTCTTTGAGTAATCTCAGGATCATTTTGCTCAAAATGCCATGCATTAAGTACCACTGTATCACCGTGTATCGTATTAGATACTCCAATCAAATATGGCGATAGATATATCTTGTGTTTAGCATTGGAGTTCTGTTTCAAAATATCACATAGAAATGCGTCAGTTCAAGTTGTCATACTTCGCAGTAGGCACACAGAGAACAAATAAGCAAACATATGGAAGTGGGTGGATTACTGAAGGATACATCATTACCATTGTGATCAATTTTCTGAAGTGTTACCAAGATTCTCCAGCTATCGATTCCTGTAGTCTTCAGGACCTCAACCAGACAATCTATAGACCAAAAGTCAGAATTTTCATGCAGTGGTGGTACTTCTTGGTCTGGTCACCTTGAAACCCATTCCTACTTTGGCTAACACTTCACACTAAGGGTATGCAGTGGATTGGTATGCTTAGTACATGTTCAAGACATTGCATTTAGTAAAGGCTCACAAACTGATAGGTTGACTTGTCTTTCTTGCCTAGTAACCTTCACCTAACCTCGACATTGCTTAGGTTGTCAAATACGAAAATATGACTTTTATTGGAGTATATATAAGATATAAGATACATATAAGATATATATATATATATATATATATATATATATATATATATATATATATATATATATATATAAGATAAAGATAAACTTTTATAGTGATTTAATGCGATTGAAGATTACACTGCTCATTTTCCTACATTAAAGTGAAGTCATGTTGCAATTCGTAGTATACCTAGTCAACTGTTCAACATTTCGAGTGACTTTTATCACAGCCTAATAACAAAACTTGGTAGCTAGTGCATTTTATTGAGCGAACTGAATTGATTTTGCTTTTGGTATGTTGAAATTTACTTATAAATACTGGGTGATGACTAAAGGTGAAATAAAAATCTGAGTCACGATGGGATTCGAACCATCAGTGCTCTACCAACTGAGCTATGAAACCTGATAGATGATCATATCTTCATTTCAATTCAATCACTAAGGGTTTTGTCGGAATTATATGTGAATTCGTGTTGCGTAACTATCGTTTGATAGTCCTCATATTGACTGCTCTGTTAGAACATCTCATCGCAATCAAAATCTACTTGAATCAGAGAGGAGGGAGCATTATATTGATTAATATTTTGATGATGTGAGATTGGCAT